TTACTCACTGCTCATAGTTACTTACTGGTCATAGTTAATTACTGGTCATAGTTAGTTACTGATCATAGATCTATAAATTGTCCGATTGTTCCTATGTCAGCTATATGCATGTATATATGTATATAGTCCACCGATTTAGCATGCTCCGATTTATAAACTTGTAAAAGTATATAGAAGATCAACTACATAGCTTAATTGAAATAGCTTGCTCTTGAATTTGTTCCAAAACAAATCTCGCACACTTGTGCATATGATTCTCAACTTGTTCTAACACCCCCGAAACGAAGTGACTGCTGCCGGTCAAGTCTCAGAAATGTGTTGTTACAAAAGTTGCAAGTCATTGTTTATTAGTGTTCAAAGTGAGTAACTGATCATACATACTTACTGGTCATAGATACATACTAATCATAGTTACTTACTGGTCAGAGATACTTACTGATCATAACTACTTACTGGTCATAGATATTTATTGTTCAGAGTTACTCACTGCTCATAGTTACCTGCTGCTCATAGTTGATTACTGGTCATAGTTAATTACTGATCATAGTTACCTACTGGGCATAGATATTTATTGTTCAGAGTTACTTACTGGTCATAGTTAATTACTGATCATAGTTACCTACTGGGCATAGATATTTATTGTTCAGAGTTACTCACTGCTCATAGTTACTTGCTGCTCATAGTTGATTACTGGTCATAGTTCATTACTGATCATAGTTACCTACTGGGCATAGATATTTATTGTTCAGAGTTACTCACTGCTCATAGTTACTTGCTGCTCATAGTTGATTACTGGTCATAGTTAATTACTGATCATAGATCTATAAATTGCCCGATTGTTCCTATGTCAGCTATATATATACATATATAGTCCTCCGATTTGGCATGCTCCGATTCATAAACTTGTAAAAGTATATAGAAGATCAAATACATAGCTTAATTCAAATAGCTTGCTCTTGAATTTGTTCCAAAACAAATCTCGCACACTTGTGCATATGATTCTCAACTTGTTCTAACACCCCCGAAACGAAGTGACTGCTGCCGGTCAAGTCTCAGAAATTTGTTGTTACAAAAGTTGCAAGTCATTGTTTATTAGTGTTCAAAGTGAGTAACTGATCATACATACTTACTGGTCATAGATACATACTAATCATAGTTACTTACTGGTCAGAGATACTTACTGATCATAACTACTTACTGGTCATAGATATTTATTGTTCAGAGTTACTCACTGCTCATAGTTACTTGCTCCTCATAGTTGATTACTGGTCATAGTAAATTACTGATCATAGTTACCTACTGAAATAGCTTGCTCTTGAATTTGTTCCAAAACAAATCTCTCACACTTGTGCATATGATTCTCAACTTGTTCTAACACCCCCGGAACGAAGTGACTGCTGCCGGTCAAGTCTCACAAATGTGTTGTGTTACAAAGTTGCAAGTCATTGTTTATTAGTGTTCAAAGTGAGTAACTGATCATACATACTTACTTGTCATAGATACATACTAATCATAGTTACTTACTGGTCAGAGATACTTACTGATTATAACTCCTTACTGGTCATAGATATTTATTCTTCAGAGTTACTCACTGCTCATAGTTACTTGCTGCTCATAGTTGATTACTGGTCATAGTTAATTACTGATCATAGTTACCTACTGGGCATAGATATTTATTGTTCAGAGTTACCTACTGCTCATAGTTACTTGCTGCTCATAGTTGATTACTGGTCATAGTTAATTACGGATCATAGATCTATAAATTGCCCGATTGTTCCTATGTCAGCTATATATATACATATATAGTCCTCCGATTTGGCATGCTCCGATTCATAAACTTGTAAAAGTATATAGAAGATCAAATACATAGCTTAATTCAAATAGCTTGCTCTTGAATTTGTTCCAAAACAAATCTCGCACACTTGTGCATATGATTCTCAACTTGTTCTAACACCCCCGAAACGAAGTGACTGCTGCCGGTCAAGTCTCAGAAATTTGTTGTTACAAAAGTTGCAAGTCATTGTTTATTAGTGTTCAAAGTGAGTAACTGATCATACATACTTACTGGTCATAGATACATACTAATCATAGTTACTTACTGGTCAGAGATACTTACTGATCATAACTACTTACTGGTCATAGATATTTATTGTTCAGAGTTACTCACTGCTCATAGTTACTGGCTCCTCATAGTTGATTACTGGTCATAGTAAATTACTGATCATAGTTACCTACTGGGCATAGATATTTATTGTTCAGAGTTACCTACTGCTCATAGTTACTTGCTGCTCATAGTTACCTACTGGGCATAGATATTTATTGTTCAGAGTTACTCACTGCTCATAGTTACTTGCTGCTCATAGTTGATTACTGGTCATAGTTCATTACTGATCATAGTTACCTACTGGGCATAGATATTTATTGTTCAGAGTTACTCACTGCTCATAGTTACTTGCTGCTCATAGTTGATTACTGGTCATAGTTAATTACTGATCATAGATCTATAAATTGCCCGATTGTTCCTATGTCAGCTATATATATACATATATAGTCCTCCGATTTGGCATGCTCCGATTCATAAACTTGTAAAAGTATATAGAAGATCAAATACATAGCTTAATTCAAATAGCTTGCTCTTGAATTTGTTCCAAAACAAATCTCGCACACTTGTGCATATGATTCTCAACTTGTTCTAACACCCCCGAACGAAGTGACTGCTGCCGGTCAAGTCTCAGAAATTTGTTGTTACAAAAGTTGCAAGTCATTGTTTATTAGTGTTCAAAGTGAGTAACTGATCATACATACTTACTGGTCATAGATACATACTAATCATAGTTACTTACTGGTCAGAGATACTTACTGATCATAACTACTTACTGGTCATAGATATTTATTGTTCAGAGTTACTCACTGCTCATAGTTACTTGCTCCTCATAGTTGATTACTGGTCATAGTAAATTACTGATCATAGTTACCTACTGAAATAGCTTGCTCTTGAATTTGTTCCAAGACAAATCTCTCACACTTGTGCATATGATTCTCAACTTGTTCTAACACCCCCGGAACGAAGTGACTGCTGCCGGTCAAGTCTCACAAATGTGTTGTGTTACAAAAGTTGCAAGTCATTGTTTATTAGTGTTCAAAGTGAGTAACTGATCATACATACTTACTGGTCATAGATACATACTAATCATAGTTACTTACTGGTCAGAGATACTTACTGATTATAACTCCTTACTGGTCATAGATATTTATTCTTCAGAGTTACTCACTGCTCATAGTTACTTGCTGCTCATAGTTGATTACTGGTCATAGTTAATTACTGATCATAGTTACCTACTGGGCATAGATATTTATTGTTCAGAGTTACCTACTGCTCATAGTTACTTGCTGCTCATAGTTGATTACTGGTCATAGTTAATTACGGATCATAGATCTATAAATTGCCCGATTGTTCCTATGTCAGCTATATATATACATATATAGTCCTCCGATTTGGCATGCTCCGATTCATAAACTTGTAAAAGTATATAGAAGATCAAATACATAGCTTAATTCAAATAGCTTGCTCTTGAATTTGTTCCAAAACAAATCTCGCACACTTGTGCATATGATTCTCAACTTGTTCTAACACCCCCGAAACGAAGTGACTGCTGCCGGTCAAGTCTCAGAAATGTGTTGTTACAAAAGTTGCAAGTCATTGTTTATTAGTGTTCAAAGTGAGTTACTGATCATACTTATATACTTACTAATCATAGTTACTTACTGGTCATAGATTCAAAGTTAATTATAATATATTATATATAAATAATTTTGTTTGAGGAAACATATTTAATCAGTTTCATCATTAAATATATATTTTTATTTATTTAGTAACAATAAATTAATTTAAACTAGAAACACTTACCTTGATCGACTCTAATAAAACGAATCAGTTTCCCTCTCAAAATAATCAAACTTTATTTTATATATTACATTTATATTTCAACAAATTCCTTTAGTAGGGAGGTAATACGATTACAAGATTGGTTTTCGGAGTTATTTCTTGATATGTTGATAGGCAATTCATTTTTGTGCCAATTCGCACATTGAGGATATATTATATACGCAAAATGGGACGGTTGGTGGTACATACAGACATTATAGGTTTTTATACGGATTATAGACACACACATATAATTGTTATACAGGTACACAAATTTATGATAAAAAATGTAATTAAATCATTGACTCAAACGGATGTTTCTGTTGGTGTAAGATATCCACGCCACAATTGCTTCGACGTATTAAATTTTGGGTTCTGCAATAGTGAAATATAAAATTAATAACTATGATCTATTGATTTTAATGCCAAAAAATAACCTAGTCTCTTAACTATTTATTTACGTACAGCTTAAATCGGGGATATATGGTAAAGATGCACATACAGACGTCTAACACGATGCTAATAGAGCTATGAAGCTATGAAGGTTTTGATTTTTTGAAACAGAGTTTGAAGCGTATCAAAAGTAGATATATACATTTAAAATCTGATACAGAATTTATAAAACTTAAAACTCTGATTCGAAATCATTATGATTCTGATTTTTTATGGAAGACAGGCAGAACTCGATTTTGGTGCTATATATATGAACGTTCAGAGATATAAAATTGGAAGCAGTAGGTGCCACACTCAACACTCACAACTATTCACAAAATACACTGAAAACGAACGATGCAAAATACCAAAAGTAATAAAATGAAAAATACAGGGATTTGGTTTTTCACTTTTTTTTTGTTTAGCAGCTTAATTGTTTGCTTCTTTATTCAATATTTGTTATATTTGTATATACTTTTATTTATATAGATTTTTGTTTGTGTATGTTTTGGATAGGATGTTGTGTGTTTGTTTTTGGTTTCAAACTTAGTGTAATGCATAAAATATAATACAAATTGTTTACAGCTCTGTCTTGGCTAGGCTAAATGATACTTCCCCCTTCTTATACAACCCGCCCCCAAGATATATACCATCAGATCACAGTTTAATAAAACCCCACATATAGCTAACCAAGTCAAAGTCTGGGAATAGTAGGAAAATGTGTAGGTGGAAAAACATCGGAGTACCGATGGAGATTCTGTTCTGTGGCTTCTCCTTGCTACTCTAGTCTTTGTCTGCGGAATTGACACTATAAAATTCGTTTCAAAAGTGTATATATTTGGAATGGTTTTGGTTGTTTGTTGTTTTATAAAATAAGTAATACTTGTATATAACTGGTACCTGAGCCCCCAAAAAAACTCAAATGCAAACAACCCTCTACTGGCACAGCTAAAAAACGTCCTTTGGAAAAACTTCTACGGTATTAGAGATTATAGTAAATAGAGATTATGATACGGCGGCTGTGAATGACCAACTACAAATATATATAGATGTGTGTGTTTTGTGCGTGGGTTCTTTTTTTATGCTTTTGTTCATCCTGTGAATCCTTTTTAAACTGGCGTTATGTTGGCTGGACCCGGCACCTGGTTGTTGACCATGGAGGAGGAGGATCCCTCTAGCCTGGCAGCCGCCTCCTTGCAATTGCTGATTTGTTGTGGCTGCTGCAGCTGTGCTCCTGCAGGATTCGTCATGGCTTCACTGTACTCATCCGCCTCGTGCATGGGCGATAGGCGTGGCGAAAGAGTGGCATTCGGGGGCGCACTGTGAGAGTTGGAGGCATGAGGGGAATGCGAAGACGAGCATGAATGATTTAATAGTTCGATATACTCGAAATAAAAAAATAAATAGGCTCATGAATTCGTTTTTGAGTTGAAAATATAAAATTGAAATTCTAGCCAATGATCAGTGGCTCAATGATTATGTTTATATACATAAGTGACCTCTTAAATGATTTGAAAATCTTCTTTTAGCAAAAGATATGTTCATCTTAAATTTAAATTTTAGAAATATTTAAGATCAAATGGACCTTCATCAATTTGCTCAAAATGAGTTATATGACATAATTATCCGTTGAATACATCATTTTCAAATTCAATATAATCCTTCTAAGGAAATCTATAAGCTGATATTGATATAATTCAGCAAGCTTTCATTCCAAAACTGACTGCGATTAATGAATATAATGAGTAGATAGAAAATAAAGGATCAGGATGTTTATATACAGAAGAGCGATCATAGATTCTAGCAGTTCATGAGAATATTCCTGAATGAGTGTCATAAGAAAGGGGACTCTCTCTCTCTACTGGGAACACTTACTGATTGCCATTGATTTGACGAACTTTAACGGTGACAGGAATAATCAATTGATCCGAGATGCCATTGCCATCCTTGCTGATCTGTTGCCAGACTGTAGATCGATCCTGGGGAATGTTCACTGTGGGTCCATTGTTGCTGTTACCGCTGCCGGGCTTATTTCCCGAAAGGGGAATGTGAATGGTGGTTGGACCCGATTGATTGGCATTGTAGTTTGTCCCAGTACCAGCTCCCGGGGGATGCTGATGGTGATTGTCCTTCAATGTAAAAATTTGCACATAGTTGCATAGTTTTTGGGACCAAAATTAGCTCAGGAAGAGGGGAATCACACAGGGATAGATATATAATTTCTAATGGTCTAATGTTGCAAAGGTGAAAGAGAGATAGAGGCGAAGTAGTAGAAAGAGCTCGCTAATAAATGGATGTGTTTCAAAAAAGGTGTTAGATTGTGTGTAAAAGTGTCAAAAAATATGCCAATCATGGTGAAAGTGTGTTCAAATTTTCGATTTATGCCAATTGTTTTTTATTGAATTTTTTATTTGTTTTATTTTTTGTTTTGTGTTTTTGCATTTTGGAATTTTGCCTATGAATTTTTACATCAATTTTCGCTACAATTAGTTGTGTTTTTTATGTCGCTAGTTAGTTACTTGAAATTTCAACCCGATGACTATAAAATAACATAACAGGTTCCATTTAATACATTTAGGTACTTGTTGTACAGTGTAAACGCTTGACTAATTATGACTTATTCTAGAATTTCATTTACATTTATAAATATCATAGATATATGTATATATATAAAGGGTAAGAGTAGTTTCTTTTTTAGAGTAGGTTCGGATAGGTAACACATTTTGGTTTGCACTACGAAAAAACAAATAATTTCCATTTGTTTTTGTTTTGTTTTTTGTGGGTTTTGGCATTTACAGGTGGTCTAAAAGCTTAGGATCGAAATAAAAAATATTTTAAAAACGTTGATCAAAAATATATATAAACAAAATGCAAAAATAGCGACATGCCATATATAGGATTAAATTAAAATGGGACACAAGGGGGGAAAACATTTACAAAATACTGTTAAAGACATGATAAAAACGTATAGTATATATAACAGAGAATTATGCATATACATGGGTTATATAGCTATATAGTTGGTAGTTGAAGAAATGTTTCAAGACCGACAAAATGCAATTAAATCAATGCAAAAAAAATCTATGAATAATTGAGTTCATCGGTATTGGAAGCACCATCGATCGCTGATCGATGGCTTTGTGCGGTTGACTGGGCAGCACTGCAAACGCAAATGAAATGGGCAGCACTGGTCCGTGGGATTTTCTTTTCTTTGCTTTTTGGTGTGTGTTGCAGATTGTGTGCTAGTGGGTGGCATTGTGTGTGTTTTTGTGCTTGGGATGGGGTGTTGGTGTTGTTGGAGTGTCTATTTCTTAAGCAGACTGCTTTGTGCCTCGAACTCTTTCTCATTTGCATTTGAGGTTGAGCAGCTAATGAGCCCAAGGCCAACGGCACTGCCCCCACCGCCAGCACCACCTTCGACCGGTGACTTGGTCACCACCCGGCCGTTGCGACCCTTTCCCCAAGGGAAAATTTTCGCCAATAAGCCCACCTCAGCGTCCAGTTTGTGCAGATCATCTGCCGCCGCTCTCTTCGTCATCTCCGGCATTATGTCATCCAGGATCTTAAGCTCGCGACGAGTAAATACCAAATCCAGGGCCTTACGAATGCCAATCATCACCACCAACATCAGGGGGAACAGGATGGAGGTCTGGGAGAAGGACTTGATCAGCCAGAGAATAATAAGACAGGCCAGCTGAATGATGGTGAACAAGTGGACACGTTTGATGGGAACCTGTAAGGAAAATATATAATTACCAGGAAGAAGGTTTTTAAGAAACAAGTACATATTTGGGTTTCTATTAAAGACTTAAGATGAAAGTAAAAACCCAACTCACCTGTCGCAGGAACATATAATCCGGTTGGTACTTGGCCGGCATGAACATGATTAGTATGCGATCAAAGAACTGCAAACCCTTGAGCGAGGCCACTCCCATATACAGAAAGACACCGAATAGAACCGGCATGGGAATGTGACCGAGCAGCGGGGTCAAGAGCACCGAAACACCAATGGTCAGGAAGATCAGGATGTGGGTTACCCGCTGCTCGCGCACACCCAGGAACTGTGGCTTCTCGCCAGGAGCCGAGCACTCAGATTCCAGCTTCAGTGAGTTCACGTGATTAATGCTCAGCACAGTGGCAGCCACGAACCTGTAAAAATATGAGAGATTAATAAGATTTCCATTAATAACAAAGCATTTCCTTAGTTTAAGCTAGAAACTCACCAAGGCAGACCCATTAAACTGCAAATGGCAATCAGAATGGACAGGATAAACAGATCTAGATGGTAACCGCAGCCCTTCTTTAGCTTGTTCTCCTTACGATTCACAATAACCGCAGTGATTTGTTGATCCATAAAGATCAGGATCGTTCCAAGCAGGGCAGGAAAGACGGCAATGATTGGTGACCACCAGGGATTCTTCTCCGAGAACGGTGGGATTAGCCAGCCACGGGTGCTCAGCGTGGGCTTCAGCTCATTGGGAACCTCCAGCTTCTGGGTGGGCACTCCCAAGGAATAGTCAAAGAAGCTCATGGCAAAGATTGCGATCAGCACGGAAAAGTCACTAATATACTGCCGGACAATGGAGGGGAAGAACAGGGCGTTCTTGAAATCCTTTAGGATGGTGGAGATTATGAAGGTGCCGGTGCAGAGAACCACCGACATCAGGAAGACGTTCTCGGTGGGTGGCGTTCCGCAATCTCCGCCAACCAGGGTGCCGTTGTAGGACTACATAAATAAGTAAGGAGATATTTATAATAAGCGTGATTGACAGAATGATTGTCTAGGATTGTCTATTAATATATTTACCTCACAATAATCCCAATTATACTTGGCATAATCCACCACACTGGCATTGCTCCCAATTGGCGGGGTACAGACACAGTCATATATCCCCTGATTAACCGGAAAGTTCTTTCCAATAACGACCACATTCTCAATGGCCTTGTAGATGAAAATGAAGGCAATTAATGTGGCAAAGTTCTCCTCGGTGAAGCGGGTTATGTAGCAAACAAGGGCACTGGCATCAATCGCGACCAGGACGATGCAAATGCCGGCGACCCACATGCCGATCCAGAACCGGAAAGTCATATATTCCCAGCCCATCTTCAGGCAGAACTCATAGATAATTGACTCAAAGACCAGTACTGGACCGGTGGACCCGAGAATTGTCAGCGGCTGGCCCGAAAAGAAGCCATACCCCATGCCACAGACGAACCCGGACACCAGAGACTCCATAGCAGCCATGTTTTTGCCAGTGGCCTCCGCCAGGAGACCTCCGAACGTAATGATCGGGGAGAGGCAGGCGAAATACAGGAAGATCCAGGAGGCAACGCATTGCATGGACAACGCATCCTTGTAGTCCCTAATGTACCAGGGCACCTTCCGTTTAACATCATTGATGAGACCGCCAAAGAGACGACCTGTCCGGGACAAACCGGACTCCTCCCTCAAACGCTGCTCCTCCTCCTCCTCGTCCACCTCCTCTTTGGGCAACTCTGGTGGTCGCTTACGCACCTCCTGGGAGGGAATGGCAGCCGGTGGCTCAATACGAATGGTGGGATCCCATTCGCCGGGCGGCAGCACAGTGACAGCATCCAGGAACTCATCCACACCGGCCAGCAGGTGATCCCGCTTCCTCGCACGGTAGGCCACCTCGTGGAAGATCTCATCGGACATTAGGGTGGCCATGGCACGGCCAATCTCATGGAAGTTGCTCTGACTGCCTGCGGGCCAAGCAGGATGAAGATGAATCTGTAAAAGAGTTAAGAGTTATTTTAGGTAACTAAATTCAAATCCTTTGAGATGAGCTCACCTGGTGGGCACTGGCACCTCGGTGAGATCGCCCATGAGCGCCGCCGTGCTCAGGCGGATGAAGCAGGAGAGTGTTCGCTCCAGGAAGTCCACCTCGCCTACAAGGATGTTACTGGCCTCCGCTCCTGGCGGTATCTTGCGCATAAAATGGGTATTCCCCTTGTGCTGCTGCCGTTCAGCTCGGTGCCGCTTCCTGGCCTGGCCATGGACTGATTGCTGGGACTCTTGACCATGTCCTCTGTGATCACCGGCAGGTTTTGTGCAGGTCGTGATTTTTTAGAATTAGATTTTTCTCTGCATTAGTTGGGATATATCGTTTTTGCAGGGTTGTTTTTTTGGTATCACGGGGTGCAGGTTTTTGGTATCGTGTTTGTATTTTATATATTTAATTTTTTTAGGGTACGTGCGTTGATAGGTATTACAACAATAATAAGAACAACACGTTACAAACGATACAACATAAAAAAAACATACGAAAAAAGAAGTGCAAAAGAGAGATATTGGATTAAATTCGGATTTCGGCTAAAAGATGCTGCAATAGATTGTTCAAATTCGGTTGAAATACTGAGATAATGAAGCATGCAAAATATATATCAAGTTGGAAAGTTAGTTTTGAAAAAGTGTGTGTGGTTAGGTGACAAGCGTGCAAATGTGTGTGGATGGTATTTTCTTTTTCTTTGGGGTTTTTTTTTAATTTCTTCTTCAGAACCAATCCCTGAGTTTTCAATTCTGATTAACCATTTCAACCTTCATGCAAATTTCTCCGTCGTTTATCCTTTTCTCAACCAATTCTATTTACAAAACTGCAAACTACCAAACGTATATCAATATATAATATCAGGACTATTTAAACGATTAACAGACACGCAAAAAATCAATCATTAAACAATAACGAAACACGATCAGTTCTTTAGTTGGTTGGATTTGACTTTGGTCTTGGGATTCTTTACCGAGCGCTCTGTTGCTGGGTTTTCCACTGGCACCGTTAGAAACGCCCCATGCCGCCGGCTGCTGAGCTCAGATTTGGATTTCCATTGCTCCAGGCGGTCCAGGTTCGCTGGCCGTTAGGGAAATCGGCGTGGTGGCCCCCAAAGTGTGCTCTTCAACTGGAAAATGTTTTGGGGGTTCGTTTTTTTTGGTACTTCATAGGTTTGAGGGGAAATCTTTAGACAGAGCTGCCCACACAGTGCACTTGAGGGTCCTTGGAAGCGAACTCTGGAACTCTGTGAACAGCTATGCTATAGGAAATCTAAGTATCTCGAATGGGCCCGGTTCATCTTTAATTGTATTTATCTTTTTCATACTTAATTCCTACTACCTAAAGAAATCATTCTAAAATAACTAAGATTTCTCTCCCTAAGAAAACTTGAAACCTTTCGCACTATTCCTTATCAACTCAAATATTTTCTCGTAGCTTATGGTTCTTTTGCGATAAGATTTTTAAGAAAATTAAAATCATCAGCCAGGATTGAGTTACAGTAATTAAAGTACAAAGGTTTAAAAGGTAAAGAAGTCGGCAATGGTAATACAAAATTATAATTGAAAAGGCCTTTCAAAATAGGGCACTTAATAAAAGAGAAGGAATATGAATCAAGAAAATAGAGAGAGACTTGAAAGCAGTAAGATTTATAGTTAATATAAACTTAAAGCCCCATATAATTTCAATATTTAAATATATATTTGAACTTAAGAAATCGTTTAGATAGACAACACATTTAATTGGGTAATATCATTTAAGAAAGGGTCTAGCGAGCTTTTTGAAGGAGATATATTGTCATAGGTTATAGTTGATTATATAGTGATATAGTAGTTTTTAAAAAGTTTAAGGAGTAGAGTAAAAATAGTAGAGTCAGAGACGAGAGACAAGAGATAATCATCGATAAACCACAGCGTGCTTTTGAAATGGAACTTCAAAGTACAGTAGAAACCATTGATGATGGGCTATTACTTGGCATTGATTGTGATTGCGATCGTCCTTGATGGCTCTGGTGCTGGGGTGAGGCCCCGGCATGGAACCAGGTGGTGACACCGATGGCCCCTAGGTGCGAAGATGCGTCAGCTTTAATGTTTTTGAGGGAACGAAGAGCGCAAGAGCGGATTTAATCAAGGGTTAGAATTGCTCAACACTGGTTTTATAAAACCCCATTTTGATACCGTTTTACTAACTAATGGATGTGAGTGATTTATGAATGATTAATTGGTGTTCAGGGTGCTCTCTAAGGAATGAGATGATTCTCAGGCCGATGTTTTGTGGAATTTAAATTTATCGTTAGACCATTGAAGGGGATTTTGATTTCTCATTAATGTAAAATCAAGTTAGCTTCCTGTTAATTGGTTCTGGGTGCATTTTTGTTGGGTGCAATGGCAACTGAAAAGGTATATACGACTTTGGTCCTTCAGCTTTAACAGAAATCTCTGGGAAGAGAGTGGCATTGGATTTAGTTTTCTAGTTCTAAGGCTATACCTGTGGGAACAGCGAGATAACAACCACGCTGATCCTTACTCGACACGTAGAGGGATGATGTCTGGTGGTGACCTCCAGTGGGATCCAGGCCAGTCGATGAGCCATGCAGTGAGTGCAGTGGACTGCTCTTGCCCAGGTCTGAGTTATTAGTATTATTTCGGATTGGATGAGAGTTTTAGACACTTTTGACACTGACAATGATCCTAAATGAGTTGAGCTGATCTGATCTGAGCTGATTTAAATGATGTGGCGGCAGTAGACTCGCAGATGATTCACAGACTCACACCAAACGAACGAGATGAGCTTAGAGTAACCTAACTTTTGTGATGACATATGACTCTACCCCATACTCACTTTTCGATGACGACTGATTGCGCATATCGGCCAAGGATCTGATGATCGGTAGTCGCGTCTTCTTGGCATATTCGTGCTGATGCCGATGGCGTCGCAGGAGGGCATCCTTTACCCGATCCTTGACCCTGGTGGGAGAGTTCCCGCACTGACCATCTGGTCACAGACCAAATCGGCCATCACCTCTAGATTATCCGCTTCCATGTCCAGCATCACACTTCCATTGACCAGCAGGCGGCGCAGCTCGAAGAGCGAGTGCAGCGAGAGTGTGGCCACATGGGGCTTTGACCATCGATTGCCACCCCTCCTCCACATCCTCCTCGAACTTAATCCATCGGGCTGTCTCCTTCCATTCGATCTCATCACCCTCCTTGACCAGCATCCCCATTTCGGAGAACAGGGGATGGAGACATGTGTGCCATCGTTGACATCTTCACCGAGAATAAACTGTACTCGCTGGGCTGGAGGAGTTACTGTAAGGTGAGGGATTTATTATTAGAAAAATCAGATTTTGAAAATGCAATTTGGAATCAAAATAAATGTATTTCAAAAGGGTTTTGGGTATTTAAAGTTCATTGCAAAGTCTACATCAAAAATGTATTGTAGAACGTCTAAAGTTACCAAAAAAGAATTTAAGCCAAATAACTACATATTTTTTTATACAAAAAATAAATAAAAAGCTTTGGTGTTTTTCCCTCAGTGGTCAGACCTTCATTAGCTTAATCAACATTTATGAGCTGGGTCTCTCGCCCGGCAAACATCTTCCTGGCATTGCCACCCCGTTCATAACAATCATCCTTGTATCCTTGGTCTCTGGCGAATGCGTGCTAAAGTTAATTGGCGTAATAATTTGGCCCTGATCTGTGCTGGGAATTTGCTACTGACCATTGACCGCCACCATATGTCCTGCTTAGGACCTCTCCGAGTGTTTTGTGGTTCATGGCAGGATTGCGTGACGTTCTAGCCTATATACTATACTACCAAAGGATAAGGATGCACATATGTTTATGCAAGCTAAAACGTTTGAAATGTGTGAAAGTGTCTTAACAATGTTTGGCTAAGTGAGGTGATAAATTTCAATTTATAATGCGGATGTTGAGCTACGTTTAAGCTTAGGTTTTATAATGAGTACAAATTGCAAAATTAATTAAGGTGGAATTAGGATTGAAGATGGATTTGTCTTGAGTTAAAAAGTGTGAAAAGGTTAAATTACTAGGGCTCACTAGTATGAAATAACTTAAGACATAATTAAGTAATATTACTTATAAATAAACAAACTAATAACTAAAATCAAATGAGGTAATTTTATTGGACGCATACAAATGGATAGGTTAGTTATGAAGTGCTGTAATTGTAAATAAGTCTTAAGAAAGGTTGATTAAGAGGATGCACATATGAAAAGCAGTTAAGCAGGTTGTTACAGGTTATACAGGTTACTAATAAATTAGGTTAGTAGTCTTAAATAAATATTAAAAATAAATGGGTTTCACGAGAGTTTGGTGCGTATAGAAGCAACAAACAACATAAATTAAAGCTTTATTTATGCTGTATTTACTAGGCTTCCTTTCCCTTAAAATTAGCTCAATTTTT